ATAGCTAGTTCTCATTGATCTTTATCCTTTCCTTGTGGGTTGTCTTGGAGTAAATGAAGTGTTTCCTTTACTCGAAGCTTTTGGAGAATTATTTTTCTTTAAGGAAGAAGGAAATCAAGAAGCTGGAAATGGAGAGACTTTGAACATGTTATTGAAATAATGTCCGGGTGCAGCTGGTTGAACTTACCTAAACTCTTTGAAAGGTGGACTGACTAGCACTCATGTTTGATCTAGTTAAACCAGTAAAATACAGGATGTAATCTGTACCCCAGCCCCCGTGTCTGATCCTACCTGGAGGTACAATAATGATTCCACTGGCAATCGTCCTGTGACTCTTTGTCTTTGCTGGCTTGAAGCCAGAAGGAGGCTTGATTGCAAATACTGTATTTTGTTTGTGTTCTCCAGTGGCTTCATGGGCGAAGGCTATTGTAATCTGACTAAGAACTTCCCCCGGGGGCGGGATGTTGAAATGTACTGAATTCTTGTATTTTTCCATGGCTCTTCTGCTCCCAGAGCATGACAGGTGAGCAGTGGAGCTGGACGGTTCGGTGTGTGTGCACCTGGCGTTAATCGGGGGGTTTACCAGTATCCCTGATGCCATTAGGCAGGGTTCTCAGAAGTTCTTTGTGGAGGTAAATAGAATGGCGGATGCTGATTGATAGAAGGCAAAAGCAAAGAACAGCTGCAAAACCTTGCCGTGGGGCGATTGTTTTAAGAAAAACAGGAAAGCTAAAATCCAAAAAGGAAATGCAGACGGACATATCTATGGACGTCTGTGTGTGTGTGTGTATGTGTGTGTGTATCTGTATAGAAATTTCTGCACAGAGAGAAAACACGAATAAATCCAAAAGGCAAATGACCAGAAAATGTTTACAACACCTGTTACACACAAATGACTTTGTGAAATCTAGTTGGCACCCATAGCGGCTAGAGTCGATAAGGTTAAAGAATCCAGAATGGAGATGGCAAAATGCAGACAGTTCACGCTAAAGGAAATACGCGTGCCTGAAGGAAATGAAACGGAAAATAATACCGTTGCCCGCTCATATTGGCAAACGTGGCAAGATTGTTACCATCCAGGAGAAAAACGTGGTGGGCTCGCTTTCCTGAGCCTCAGTAAAAAGATTGGACTCTATTATACATAGGGACCGGGGGGTTTTGAGTACAGCGTCCCCCCCCCCCCACTCCTGAAAACAGTCATAACGGCAAAGTAATGTCAGTCGTAATGGACTTTTTTTGGACCTCTAACTCCGTTGCAGACATTTTGCTAAATACTTTCCGAGGATTATGCGTTTAATCCTCCCGAGTGTTCTGGGACGTGCTGTCGTCGGTAAGAACAACAACAACGGAAAACCCGATTACCACCGTAATAATCTTCCTGGCTTGCTTGCTGTGGCCCCCAATATTTCTCTATTATGACAGCGTCTCATTTTATGATTACTGGGAAATTTTGCTTAAAATGAAAATGTTTTGGTCGAGGAAAAGCCCTGACGTTAATTCCCCTCCAAATCCATGCAGCTTGACCACGAGGCTACAGCTGTTGGTTTAATGGGTTTCAGAGCGCTGGGTTTGCGCATGGCGGGGCAGTAGAGGGGGCCTTTGCTGGGGCGCTGATGGCCCTCTGTGCTCCATTCTTGGTGTTTTCCTGTTGAGCTTTGTCCATTTTACCCACAGTCAAAGGAAGCAAGAGGGAGCTAAATCAAGGTGTGCCAGATACGTGACTCTTCCTAGCTTCTATTTTTTTGTTTTATCCTCTGAGATTTAGTACATAACACATTTTATTTCTAGCCCTCAGTCCACATCGACTCTCGTCTGCTTTCTGTCTGTGCATGCGCCCTCCTCTCCTGGTCTCTGTTCCAGCCCATCAGTCTGATCTGCTGCTTCCTGAACCCATGACACTTAGGACCACATAAGCAACCTTACCCCCTCCCAAGATTCTGACTCTGCAGATTCCTGCAAAACCCACCAGCGGGCTCACCCCTTGTTTCCTGGAACCGTTACTCACGGTGGCGTCTGTGCTGTGCTTAGCCATTTGCTTCATGACTCTGGCTCTTTCACTTGGCTTCTGAGAGTCCCCGTTTCTCAGCTGTGAAATGGATCGACGAAGTTGGTGTCACGGCGTGGGGTGTGCGAGCGGGCTAAGTGTGGGAGCGCCAAGCACAGGCCCGCCATGAAGATGTGGGCAGTAGTGCCACCACAGTCCCGACGGATAATAATCCCGGCAAAGACGTACCCCCACCCCCTTTAGTGATACTTTATCGGTCCTTGCTCGGGGCCAGCAGCAACTGCCGTGTCCACTCAGCAGCCCCTGGGTGCCTCCCGCGGCCGGCGACAGAAGCCACCTCTGTGAGAGCCAGGAGCTGGGCTGCTGTCCTGGGAGGCATTCCAGGACAGAGGGGAAAGGCGCTCCTGTCGTGGAGCCGACTTAAGTAAAAGACGTCTGTCCCAGGCCCAGAGACCGGGGGTGGGGGGTGCATGTCTTCAGAGCAGCGCGGCAAGGACAGAGGCCGTTAGGGCACCACGACGTCCTCCAGAGGCCTGTCCATCTGTCCAGGGCAGGGAGGATGGGGAGGGAACAGGGCAGAAGCTGGGCCATGTGTAGGTTCCCTGTACAAGGAGCAGGACCTTCTGACCACGGTCCTTAGACCGCGACCCCGATAAAGACGCTATGTTGGTTCAGACACTAGCCTTGACCCCGTCTCCAACATCCAGGTTCACTCATTTCAGTCTGGAGTCCCTTGGGAAGGGACCTCACCGCTGTCCATCACCGGGCGCTGAGCATGGGGCACTCGGACTGGGGTCTGGGGTGCGCCGATGGGTGTGGTCCTGGGAAGTCCCCGCGGGAGCCGCCCCGTGCAGCACGGGGAGGAAGGGCCGTCCCCGGCAGGACGGTGAGGCGGGCTTCTCGTAGGAGGCTCACCGAAGGTGCCTTGGGGGCCGCTCTCCGCTTTTCTGTGATGCGCCTCTTGGCGTCTGACCTCTGCCTTTTGCCGTGGTCGCCCTGTGCCTGGGCGACCACGCTGCAGCCTGCCTGATCCTCCTGTGAACTCTGAGTGTGTCACCGTGTCAGGGGCTCCCCTGATGCGTGTCCATCTACGCGCGGTGCTTTCTCGCGCCGTTTCTACGAACCCTTCCTTCCGGGGAATTAAAGCACGGCCACCATTTGTCTTGCCTTGGCCTCTACCCAGTCTAAGTATTTTTCTGATAAAGACGTGTCAAGAATCACACTTTCCCTCCTCCCCGACTGTTCCTGTCCTTGCCCAGCTCCAGTCCAGCCAGTCCGGCCAGTGAACCTTGAGAAACAGCGAGAGATGTGGGCACACTGAGGGCCTGCAGAGGTCGGCAGGGGGTCGGGTAGGTCGATACCAGATTAGCTGACGTCGTGGGTCTGCCTTACGATTCTGGGGCTGCGGGGCTGCAAAGGAGAGTTACGGCCTCATGGTAGATCTCACGGTTAAAGCTTTGACATGGGGCCGTGGCCTTTTAGCCCGGCCGTCTCAGTCCAGCGGAGGAAACTTTCTGACTCTATGCAGTTGAGGTTGTTTCAGTGGGAATCCTGTATTAGGACGGCATGTTATTGGAAGTGGGGTATGTTTAGGTAGATTCTTGGGAGCACGAAGAGAAAAATAGGATCTCTCCATACAACGCGGTCGGACAAAACGGTAGGAAGTGTTGGTTTTTGCAGCAGTATTGGCAGAGCAAAATACTCTACCGTTTAGCCAGCTGAGAACCATGGTGCTGTGTGGCAGAATGTAGACACAAAAGGCCACCTGTTCTACAGTTCCATTTGCATGAAATTTCCAGAATCGGTCAACTCTGCAGAGAAGGAGAGTAGGTCGGTGGTTGCCAGGGCCTTGAGGGAGGAGGGAGTTTGGGAGCGTGACTGCTGATGGGTCCAAGTTTCATTCTGGGGTTGGTGACAGTGTTTGACAATTAGATGGTGGCGACGGTTGCACAGCCTTGTGAGTGCACTTCTCGGTCTTCAGAATGGACTTCTTACTACAAACCGTTGGTGTGTACGCTTCGGAAGACGTACACGTTGCGTGTAGGAATTATATCTCCATGAACTTGCTGTAAAACTATTTTTAAAAAGATATATTGGTTCAGTTTTCTTTTCTGTGAATGGGGAACAAATGTAACACTACTGTTCTCTGGGTAGAAGATGATGTTCTCAAAATGCAAAGTTTAGAGATTCAGACAGAGGAACAGGCCAGGGTATATCCTGCCCAATCCTGACCTTCAAGGAAACAGGGGCCACAGTATCTAAATTATGGGTTGATTGCTGTTACTACCTCTACCAACCACTGCAGCCTCACACATTCTGACATAACGTATCCCAGCCAAAGGAGAAATCACGCCCAAGACGTTAGTCATGGGGAGATGAGAGGTTTCCCAGCAGAAATGTGGATGGTAGATGCAGTAAACCGTAGCTGTCATATTTCTTCCACACTGACTGAGTTATCAAGCCATGCTACGTGGTGTAGGTGTATTATTTCCTTATGCCGGCAACATCATGCATGAGATAGTGTTCCCTTTTACAGACGGATAAACTTCAGGTACAAGGATAGCAAGTCCGTTGTCCACGCTCACACATCCACCCGGTGACTTGTCAGTAACAGCAGGCTCCCAGGCTCAAACTCTGTGGCTTGAGATGAAAACCCCTGACTTGTAAATTTACCCAATCTGCTTACTACCGGAGAGATGCGTAGTGTTCATTTCCCCACGGGTCTGCATTTCACGGCTCAGCACGCCAGGAGAGGTGGCTCGGACCCTCTTCCTCTCAGACAACTTGAAATCTTTCTTATTTTATACGTCTGTGTTTCTATCATGAGGTCAAGGATGAAACTGGAACTTACGTTAGAAACACATTTTCTGTTTTGGGAAGAGAGAACATCAGGATGGTGAAATTGCTCTTCTGTTCAGGATGATATGGAAAAACGATATTCACAGTGTAGTTAGAAAATTATTTAATGAGACAACATTTCTTTCTCTTTTTGCAGAACAATGGTTCCCTGGTTTGGTGCCGGAATCACAAGCAATGTTCTAAGGTATGTTCCCTACAACTGCGTCAATATTTCTAAAAACCTGTCGTTTTGAGATAATTCTAGAGTCACACAAGGTTGCAAAGACTGCAGAGAAATTACACATATTCCTTAAGCAGTTTCCACCGAAAGTTCCACTTCACATATTTGTAGGACAACGTCAAAAGCGGAACGTTGACATCAATATACGTGTATATTGTCAATATACGTGCAATATACGTGTATCGTCACATGCCAGTCCATGACTTGTAGGTTCCATTAGCCATCGCTGCAATCAAGACACACATACCAGTTTTTCTACACGCTACCTTATTTCTCTCCCTGTAATTTTTTTTTAATCCAAAAACATTTTAAGGAGGAAACGTCTTCTGGTTGCACCAGAAGATTTGCTGCATTCTACATACACTTAAGCTATTTTGTATGTAGTGTTGTTAGCAGGAATTTGCGATACTGTGATTTGTGGGACACGTATGGTTGGTCATACACATGACCAGAATATCTTCTCGTGTATTTGATCTTCCTCCACCGTTCTTGGCTCACAGCTCCCCAAACCCTTGGGACTTGCTGAGCAATAAGAACACTGGGACCGTCTTCTGGGCTGCTTGGTCTCTTGTCCTCGGTTTCTAAAATCCCTCCGGAGCCCCAGAGGTAAACAAGTGTCTTGTTATTCCTAACAAGCCCCTCTCCACCGCCAAGGGGTGTATGTGAATGAGGTGACTTTTGGAACACGGCTAAGGAAGGGGGCTGTTGCTACGCAAACCAACCCTGAACAGAGGGTTGGGACTTTCAGGCCGAGTCCCTGATTTCCAGGGACGGGAGAGAGCGGGAGGTTGAGTCAATCACCAACAGCCAATGATTTAATCAATCATGCCTAGATAATGAAGCCTCCTTTTAACGCGGAACAAAAAGGGAGAGGGTTCAGAGAGCTCCCACGTGTGACACGTGTGCAAATGCAGACCTGGGGACAGGTGGTGTCCTTGGAAGCTCCCCGCCATTTCCCCGTGCCTGGCCCTGTGCATCTCTCCCACCTGTCTTCTCCTGAGCTAATATCCTCTCATAATAAACCCATCGAAAGTGAGCGACTCAGTCAAGTTTTTGGTTGTGTGTTCTGCTGAGCTGCCCTAGCAGATGAATGGAAGCCAACGAGGGGGTCAGTGGGACCCTGCCATCTGCCGCAGGTCAGACAGAAGCGCAGGTGACATCTGGGATTTGTGATGGGCACTGAGGTGGGCGTGGGGGGTGGGTCATGGCAGAGGGGAGGGAAGCAGCCTGTGCGACCGAGCCCTTAAACCCCGAGACAGACACTGTCACCAGGTACATAGTGGCAGAAGTGAGTTAACGTGTAGGACACTCAGCCGATGCTGGAGGGCTGGTGGGTGTTTGTAGAAGCTGCACCCGCCCACCCACACCACACACAAGTTGGAATTGGGTGCAGAACTTCTAGAATTGCTGGTTAAATAATCTGACTCTTTAAAAGGCCTCTTTTCCGTTTCTGAGTCACCCTCTCCGGGCACACACACTCGAAAGTTTTCATTTTATCGATTCGTGCAGTGAATAGCATACGTTTTACTTCAGTCCCCAAACACGGCAATTCTGAAAAAAATACGCATGTGCATTGGTGTATGTTTGTAGTATGTACCGTACGAATACAGTTTGCCGCTGGCTGAAGATGTTGGCAACTTTGGGATCCTGATAGTGTTTGATGAGCTTTATTTCATCCACATTCCTATTAGACTTAAAACTCAAACAGTCCTTTATTTTATCACTAAAATGTTATTTGGGCAACACAGATAACTTGTTTATGAAGAACATTATTATTTTCTAGGGTCTTCCAAACCCGGTCTCTCCCAGTCAGTGACTGTAGGCTGCTATCCCACACCAAGAACTTCATTGCAGAGATCCATCCCAACGTCCGTGCACACAGGACGACGTCTAATACACACAGATCTTATTAAAAATAGAATTCGTAGGTGAAATATGGAATAGTGTGATGGAAGTAAGCTTCGCTTAGCTGTGACTTGCTCAGTCTTGGGCAGAAATGAAATGCCTGGTTTACGGTTTACTTTTTTATGTAATAACGTCAACATTTGCTCTGGCGACAGGTTTCCTAGGCTCTATGACACTGTTCTTCCACTGGCGTGTTGGGTAACTCGTTTATGTCATCATCGCAGGAAGGTGTATGTACACATACCGAGAGAAAAGGACACGAGGCTGATGAGAGTCCCCGAGTAGCGTTCCTGCCCCGTTTTATATTAGCTGAGTGTTTCATGAATTACCAGTATTATCTCTCATTTAAGCAACGCCCTTTCTCCTTACTCCATTAAGAAATTCTTTTTTTACCCCTTTAAAAGAAATTCAAATGGAAAAGTTTCTTGTGAACTGTGTTTTTAAGTATCCCAATTAAAGACACACACACACACACACACACACACACACCCCGCCCATTGGAACGATGCGTTGTTAAACCGTATCTTCTCGTGAATGAGCAAGGCGGACACGAGAGACTGCATTTCCCAAGAAAAGAAATCAATTCCCTTTGCCTAAAAGCAAGGAACGCATTAATAAGTTACAGCTGACCCCACGAGAAACTTTGGAATACAGTGCAAAGCGGACATCAGTTTAAGGGTTGGCTTCAGTCTGAATCTTTGGGAATGAATCTTAGGCGCCAATCCAAGTTATCGCCTCTGGATATTACCACCACCGGCTACGTTCGCAGCTAATTACCGTTTGCGTTTCTTTTCGGATCTGTGGAACCCATAGAGTCTTTTTGCTCTTTGTCTTTAGGGTAATGAGGGGAAGCGTGAGCGGTAGGGACTCCGTTTTACAGGTGGGGACGCTCGGGCACATGCCGATTCGATAACAGTCCTGGAGTCACTCAGCAGAGGGGTGGAGGGGTGCCAGAGTTCGGAACGCTGCCTTCTCCGTCGTGCTGCCCAGAGATCAACAACTTGAAAACCCGTTGAGAATAAATACCGGGACAGCCGAGTAACAGATAAAACCTGGGAGTAATAATGATGTAACTTTCTGAATATGTTTTGAAAGATAGGGATCGTGGAATGTTTTGTAGAAGCCACGCACGCTCATCATTGGTGCCTGCCATCGACGAACAGGATCCCTTCCTCCCGCCCTCCAGCGCCTGCCCCGCCCCTTGTCCAGCGGGCCATCGTCTGCCCGCGCCGGCCACGAGCATCGTGTGGAGTCTCCCAGCCGCGGCTTTTGCCCCAAACCATGCGGTCCGCGCAGGGCTCCTGGAAAGACCATCTAGACGTAAAAGCTGAATCGTGCTGTCCACCTTACATCTGTTGCTCTCTCTCCATCTTGCTCAGACCCAAACGCTGGCCCCGTGTCTCCCCCTCTTTCTCTCTCTTACTTGATCTCCTCCTCCTTTTAGCCCTTGGAGGCTGCTCTTCTGTCCACCCAGAACTGGGTGTCGGTCCCCCCTGCCCTCATCCCCATCCCAGCACATGTGCACCTTCTCAGCCTCGCTTTCCCCAACCAACCCCTCCCCTTCATTACACGCTTCATTTACACCCTGACATGCCGTTTTAGAGGTCTTGTTTTCTCTCTCACACTCTGTCTCCTTGACCAGAAAGTAAACTCTTGGCAGAAGCCGACTCTGTCTTCTTTGTTGACCGTGGGGTTCCCCACTGTCCTAGCGTACGATGCTGGGGGGCACCTACCAGCTGCTCAACAGATATTTCTGATGAGGGCATGAACGAGTAAGACTTGTGTATTACATTCTTCCTCCCCAAAGTACATCTTTAGTGCTTTAGCTTTACAAGAAAGTAACAATACAGTCCATTTTGTATCCATGTAACTTAGCAAGATTATTTGTTATTCAGAGAATCTACACCTTTGTCCTCTACTCCGCTTTCCATAACGAAGTCAGCACTGCCAACTCAAGGGTCTTCAGCACCATTTACCTTGTAGGTCATGTGGAGTAGTGACTGATTGTCCTGTGTAGGTTTACACGGTGGCTCTCAACCTGGGGTGATTTTCTCCCGAGAGCCCAAGTAGCAACGGCTGGGGACGGTTTTGGTTGTCTCAGGTGGTGGTGGAAGCCACAAGCAGCAGGTGGGTGGCGGTCGGGGATGCTGACGGCAACCAGCAGTGCCCAGGACAGCCCTGCACAGCAAGAGTCACCTGGTCTACGTGTCCATAGTGCCGAGGTGGAGAACCCTGGTCCGTGCATTTTGGCGGATATAAAAGAAATGAAGAACCCAGCTCTAGTCTCCCCAGTTTTACTTTCTGATGTGATAGAAAAATAAGCGTGTCATTTACTGGGCATGTGGTATGCGTGGAGTGCCTTCAGGGGCTTGGTACGTGTAGGGATTCTCATTCTCCCCGTATACTCTCTAATGTCTGGTGGGTGGCTCTGCCTTCTCACCCAGTTTCTGTTCAAACTAAAACCTGCCTCCTCACCATCTAGAATCCGGCATCTACATTTCCCAGATCTTCTTTGCTGTTCAATATGGCCATCTATCTTATTTCTAGCCCACGGAATGCAGTTGGGATAATTGTGAAGGATTTTTGAGATGTCTCTGTAAAAAGGGACTGATTTAGCTAGAAAACATCCTTGTTGGGTCTTTCTTCCCCTTTTCTGTCCTCTGCTGTCGAGGATGCAGACAAACGTCAGGGGCTCCAGCAGCTGTCTTGCTCGAAGACTTCGCCTTAACGACAGAGGCAAGTGTGAGGATAACCAGTAAGAAAGATAGAAGGTGTCTGGGTCTTTCATTGCATGGAGCCCCCATTTTGAGTCTTGGACCTCTCAAATTATGTGCACAGGGAAGACAGATAACTTTCTATGTTAGGTAAAGTAGCTTTTTTTTTTTTTTTAAACTTTGTTTTTGTTGTTGTGTGAAGATGAACCTAATCTTGACTTTCTAATTGGCGTGACCATCTCTGTTTCACAGACGCTTGGGGAGGGTTTCATGACCTTTGTGCGATGTCACTTGGCTACTGAGTACCAGGACGTAGCAGAGATGGAATTTGAACGAGTTCTGACA